CGAAAACAGCGCTTACTCTTGCACATGTAGTTGTCGCAGCGCTGGTTCTGCGCGCACTGCTCGTCCCACTCGCACTCGATCTTCTGGAGCCTTGGCGCTCGTCCGTGGCGTCGCCGAAGTAGCCCTGCGTCGGGAAACGTGGGATTAACACTTCTATTATATCTATTTATTTTTTGTTCATAAATTTTAGTTTGCAAACCTGTTTCCCTCTTGGAACATTTTTTGGCAATACGAATACCTTTATTTTTTGCGATATCTTCCATTAAAAAGCATACACAATTAAGGAACTAATTAGAGAGAGAGAGAGAGAGAGAGAGAGAGAGAGAGAGAGAGAATTTTAAACCATGTCCACACTTTCTGGCAGAGCGCTTACCTGCGGGCACTGGCACACGGCTTGGTGGTTGATTGCCTTGCACTCTGCGTTGCGTCCGCAGAGCGTGAGTCCGTCGCACACCTCGCGGCACTCCGCTTGGCCCACGAGGTTGGTGCGGCACTGCTCGTCGGTGCTGCAGTCGGCGTTCTGGCGGCACTTGACTTCTGGCACGCAGAGGTTGTTCTGGCACACTTGCAAGTCGGGCAGTCGTTGTTGGACCTGCACTTGGGCACGCAAGCGCCATCGATGCACACCTGGTCGCTGAGGCACTCTCGGTTGCTGGTACAACGGGCTGAGGGGGGAGGGGGGCACGGGTATACGGTTAGCTTAGAGATACAGATAATTTAAAGCATCCTTTTCTTATTGCTATCGATCATGGCATTTCCACGCATACAAAAAGAAATTCAGCTTTGATTTATCGATGGACCTAAATCAAAAGAAAGACAAGAAACTTACGCAGGCAGACGCCGCCATTGCACTGCTCGCCGGCGGGGCAGTCCGTCTCCACCTGGCAGTAGGTGATGTCCGTGCAGCCGAGAGTGGCGTCGCCGGTGAAGCCTGGCTTGCAGAAGCACTGGTGCAGGTGAGCGCGCGCGACGCACTCGGAGTTCTTGCCGCACACGCCGGGGATGGAGCACGGGTTCACGCACTTGTTGTTCACGCACGACTTGTCAGCCGGGCACTCGTTGTGGCCGAGGCACTCGAGGCGACGCAGCTGGACAAGGGGTCGCCGGTGGTGCGGGGAGGGCAGGAACAGACGGCCTTGTGGTTGACCGTCTGGCACTGCGCGCCGACGCCGCAGGCACCCGGGATTTCGCACGGGTTGCGGCACTTGGTCTGGAAACAGGCGGCGGCGTTAGGGCACTCGCTGTCGTCGAGGCAGTCTCCGGGGTTGCGGCAGCCCGTCATCACGGGGTCGCCCACCTGGCCCTCCGGACACACGCACGAGTAGCTGCCCAGGGTGTTGCGGCAGAGGCCGGTGCGGTGGCACGGGGTGTCACGGCATTCGTCCACATCCACGCAGCCTCCGGAGGAGTCTGTCTGGAAGCCTCGCTCGCAGTAGCACACGGCAGCGTGGTCTACCGCCTGGCACCGTCCGAAGCCACAGTTCACACTGTCACACGGGTCTGCAGAAGGCAAGGAAAGAAATAATGAGTGAGTATTCTCGTAATTATAAACTATAAAAAAAAATCAGCAATAGGTCTCTGCAAAGGTACTTCCTGATATACTAATACATGATACTTACTGATACACTTATAGCTGAGGAGGTCGCACAGTTTGTTGGAAGCACAGTCGTCGTTGACGATGCAGTCTCCCTTGACGCAGCCGACGGAGAGGTCATTGGGGTCGCCGAAGTGGCCGGCCTCGCACTCGCACACTGGCTTACGGTTGACCACCTTGCAGCGGGCGTTGGAACCGCACACGGCCGATGCGCAGGGCGCCACACACTTTAATATGCCGTCGCCGTTCTTCTCACACGCTTGGTCTCCATTACACTGGGCGTCGTCGGTACATTCGTTGGGCGTGGTGCAGCCCGGCGCTTGGTAAGGATCGCCCACGGTGCTGGCGGGACATGTGCATTTGTAGGAGCCTGGCACGTTGACACAGGAGGCACTCGGGTGGCATGGCCTGTCCTGGCACTCGTCGACGTCGACACAGCCGCTGGGGCCCGGTAGGTACCCCTTGGCGCACATGCACTTCTTGGAGAGGCACACCTCATTGACCGACAGTCGCTGTTGCCTCGGCAGCCGCCCACGCATGCACCTTCAATGCAGACCTCGCCCTGCAGGCAGTTGCCGTCACCAAAGCAAACCTTGTGGCACATTCCTGCGGTGCAGCTCTCACCTGCGCGCACACTCCTTGCTCTGCTGGCACACGGGCTTGCAGAGGCCGAAATCACACACAGTGCTTGGACCACATTCACTGATGGTGGCAACATGTGTCAGACACACGGACGCATCCTTGCTGTGGTGTTGGTGTTGGAATGAATCCTGAAGGACACTGGCACTGTGCCAAGTGGTTCAGCACACTGCACTGAGCGTTAGGGCCACACGTTCGGCCTGGAGCACGGGTCATCACATTTGTTGTTGACGCAGGCATTCGCTGTTGGACAATCGGTGTTTCCGCGGCAACCAAGGAGACACACGCCAGAAATACATGCCTGGTTGGTGGGGCACTGTGAAGACGAGACGCAGGGCACCATGCACATGTTGTTGTAGCACCTTTCTCCTTGGGCACATTCGCTGTTGTCTCGGCACACTACCTTGCACTGTCCATCCAGGCACACGCCTCCTTGGCACTGTGCATCATTGTTGCACGAGGATGTCAGGCGGGTGCATCCCTTGTCTGGGGTCGGATTGGGGACGAATCCCGTTGGGCAGGTGCAGATGGGCTTCCTGTTGACGACGTTGCATTGGGCATTGGGTCCACAGGCTCGGTCGCAAGGAGAGGCGCATCGGCCATTGATGCAGACGCTGTCCAGCGGGCAGTCATCATTCCCGCTGGGACACATGCCCTTGGGGTGGCAGCCGGTTGTGTACGGATCGCCGACCATTCCGACGGGGCAGGAGCACTGGTAGTTCCCTCCGACGGGTGAGCAGGTGGCAGAGGTGTGGCAGGGGTTAGGGTCGCACAGGTTCACGGCCACGCACTCGATCTCGGCAGACGGGTTTGGCCGCGAGCCCGGAGGACACTTGCAGTTGTAGCGATGGTTCTCGGCAAGACAGATGGCATTGTCGCCGCAAGCATCGTAGCAGACATCAAAGCAAGTGAAGTCCAGTCTGTTGCAAGCCTTGTCTGTGGGCAGTCCTCATTGATGATGCAACTGACAGAGGAGCAGCCCTTGACAGGGTCATTGGGGTCGCCTGCAAACAGACCTGGCGGGCACTGGCACTGCGCGGCGTGGTTGTTGGCAACGCACACGGCGTTGGGCCCGCAGCGAGTGGTTTCGCACACAGACATACACTTGCGAACATTGCCTCGCGTCTCACACTTCTCAGTCTCCGAGCACTGAGCGTCGGACTGGCACTCGTCACGGGGCAAGGGACGGCACCCGCTGCGGTCGTTGGGGTTGCCGTGAAGCCTCGGTCGCACTGGCACTGACCACGGTGGTTGACGGCGAAGCAGGAGGAGTGGAGAGGGCAGTTGAAGTCCTGGCAGACGCCCACGCACTTGAGGACGCCCAGCTGGTCGGGCCGACAAGCATCAGAGAGCGGGCACTGGCGGTCGTCTTGGCAGTCGGGAACGTTGGGCTCTGCGGAGAAACAGAAAGGATGTTAGTTTGGTTACATCGGTGCCACGTGACCCTGGCTGTGTATCACTGATGCAATCGAATCAAATCAGTTAACAGTACTTACTCTGGCATTGTTTGGTTGAGGGTTGCGCAGGTAGCCCTCATCGCAGCGGCAGAGAGGGCGTCCAGCCTGGCTGTAACAAATCTCATTCTGACCGCAGGTGTAGGAGAAGCAGGGGTCGACGCAGGCCTTGAGGCCCTGGGCGTCCACCTGGCACACCTGGCCGGGGCTGCAGTCGCTGTCGGTGGTGCACTTGCTCTCACGGTCCTCAGGCTGGCAGCCTGCAGTGAGGTCGTTAGGGTTACCCTTATAGCTGTCCTTGCACAGGCAGGCTGAGCGGTGGGCCTGTGCAACACAGAATGCATTGGGGCCACACTCAACCTTGTTACAGGCGTCGACGCAGGTACGGCGTCCGCCGCTGGAGAAGCAGATCTCGTTGTCAGCGCAGAAGAGATCGTTTTGGCATCCTGCAGGCTGGCATCCTTCGCTGAGATTGGAAGGGTCGCCCTTGAATCCTTGAAGACACGTGCAGGTGCCGTCGGTGCAGAGGGCGTTGGGGCCGCACACGACGGTGGCGCAGGGCGAGTCGGGGCAGGCGGCGGGTTCTCCAGACACGACTCGGAGCCGACCGTGTCCGGCATGCACATCTGGAAGGGGTTGCCGGAGAAGTCTGCCTGGCAGCGGCAGTCGAAGCTCCCGGGGTGTTGAGGCAGACGGCGTTCATGCCGCATGCGCTGCCGATGCACTCGTCGACGTCGACGCACTCCACGTAGGGTTGCCCTGGTAGCCGACGGGGCACACGCAGTCGACGCGGTTCACGCCCTGGCGGCACTCGGCGCTGGTGCCGCAGCGCGTGGTGGGCAGTCGGCCTTTCTGGTCCTCGGAGGCGCACGACGCGTACGGGTTGCCGCTGTAGCCGGTGTTGCACACGCACCTGTTGGGCTCGCCGTACTCGCAGTGGGCGTTGGCGCCGCAGCCGGGCGTGCACAGGGGCGGCGTGATCGCTGCGGGAAAGGCTCGTCAGAACGACGGTAACACAGACATGCATTCTCAGTATGGATGCGCGCGCGCGTGTATAAAAATATATATACATATTACATACCTGTTCATCTATCTATCTATTCATCTATACACACACACACACACATACACATACAAACACAAAAACAAACGCAAACAAACACACACATACACACACACACACACACACGCACACACACACACACACACACACACACACACATATATATATATATATATATATATATATATATTATATATACATATGTATACACATACACACATATATATACATGTGTCTGTGTGTGTACACACGCACACGCGCAACACGCGCACACACACACACACACACACACACACACACACACACACACACACACACACATATATATATATATATATATATATATATATATATATATATATATATATATATATATAATATACTTATATAAATATATATATGTGTGTGTGTGTGTGTATATGATTTCGCTTCTTCCCTCTCAGTTTGCAAGCAACATCCACGCCCGCAGCAGAACACAAGCATCACTTACGAGGCACGCAGAGCAGGTCAGGATCGCCGAGGAAGAAGGGCAGGCAGACGCACTTGTTGGTGTTCTTGTCACACTTGGCGCCGACGCCGCAGACGACGCCCTCGCAGCGCTCCTTGCAGCGGCCGTTGACGCACACCTGCGGGTGCTGGCACGGGTTGGCGGCCGAGCACTGGTCGGGCAGGCAGTGGCCGCCGGGGAACGGGTTGCCGTTGAAGCCCGCCTCGCACTTGCAGGTGGGGCCGTCGCTCGCCACGATGCAGTTCGAGTTGGGGCCGCACAGGAAGCCCTCGCACATGGAGATGCAGTCGCCGTTGGGCCCTCCGCGTAGCCGGGGTGGCAGCGGCACCAGGCGGCGTGGTCCTCGGCCTCGCAGTAGGCGTTCGAGCCGCAGGGCAGGGCGTCGCACGGGTTCACGCACTCGCCGGAGTCAGTGCAGGCGAGGTCGCCGGGGCAGTCGTCGTCGGAGCGGCACTCGACCTCCTCCCTTCGGTTGCATGTGCCGATGAAGGGGTCGCCCTCGGTGCCAGGGGGACACTCACACTTGAAGGTGCCGATCTCGTTGATGCAGATGGCGCCCTGGCCGCAGGGGTTTTCGCGGCACTCGTCGATGTCCACGCAGCCGGCGGGGCCTCTGTTGACGAAGCCGGGCTGGCACATGCACTGAGGGGGGTCCGTGGGTGTGCACTTGCTGTTGATGCCACACGAGAAGGCTTCGCACGGGCTCTTGCACCTGTTGTTGTCTTGGTTGTCGACGAAATAGGGCGGCGGGCACACGCACTTTCCAGGCTGGACGCAGCGCTCGTTCACGAGGCAGTCGGAGTCGCTCGAACACTTCTCCTGGGCCTTCGAGCAGCCCGTGGTGTAGGCGTCTCCCGAGGAGTCGGGCGGGCAGCGACACTCGAAGCCGCCCACCTGGTTGTAACATTCGGCGCCGGGACCGCATGGCAGGCGCCCGTTGGGGAGGCGCGCCACGCACTCGTCGACGTCCTGGCAAGATCCGTCAGGGAGGGTGGTGTACCCGGCGGGGCAGGCGCAGTAGCTGAGGCCGCCCTGGATGGTGACGCACTCGGCTCCCGCGGGACACCTGTTGCCCAGGGAGCAGTTGGCCAGCACGCAGATTCCGTCCACGATGCGGTACGGGGGAAGGCACGTGCACTCCAGGGTGTTGCACTCTAGGGAGGAACACACCCTTTAGCAAGTGTTGCATTTTGGAGGAAAGAATGCTAAAGGTCTCACATCAGTACACAAAAGTCAAAACAGGTTAATTTACAGACCCTATGAAAATACCTGAGACGCTGACTACTTACTTTCGCAGAGGCTGAAGGGGTTTCCGACGAAGCCGGGCGGGCACTGGCAGTCGTAGGACCCGGGCAGGTTCTTGCAGTTGGCGTTGAGCCGCAGGCAAGCTTGCCGCCCACGGTCTCCAGGCACTCGTTGATGTCGCGGCAGCTACCTGTCTGAGGGTCGCGCACGTAGCCTCGCTGGCACACGCACACGTTAGAACCGAGGGTCTTGTCCTCGACACACTGCTCCCCCGTCGGGCATGGGCTGGAGACGCTGCAGTCCGGGCTCTTGACGGCGATGCAGCCCTCGCGGGCCGCGTCGCCCTCGAAGCCTGACGGGCACTCGCACGTGAACTTGCCTGGCTCGTTCCTGCACACCGCGCCCTTGCCGCACGGGTTGTTCACGCACTCGTTCACGTCCGTGCAGCCGAACACGCCGATGGGGTTGCCGGAGTAGCCCTGCGCGCACAGGCACTTGGGCTGCCCGTTGATCAGTTTGCACTCGGCGTTGGGGCCGCAGCGCACGTCCTCGCACGGGTCTGCGGGGAGGCAAGGCCACGTCAGGAAGAGCAAATTTACAGAAAAAAAAACATGAGAAAGATAACACACAGGACGATTAGAATCAGCCAAATAACACTGGCAACGAGGCGTCGCAAGCCATCAGCTCTGCGCCCTGCTTGCCGAGACCCTCTGAGCCCGCACTACTTACGCCTGCAGTCGTCGCCGATGTTGGGCTCCGGACACATGCACTGGTTGGCGAGGCAGAGCGCGTTGCCGGGGCAGTCGTTGTCGTCCGCGCACTTCATGATGTCCAGGCACTGCGTGAAGGGGTCGGGGTCGGCCACCGTGTTGGGCGGGCACGAGCAGGAGAACGAGCCCAGGGTGTTGGTGCAGACGGCGCCCAGCCCGCACGTCCCGGGCCGCCGGCACTCGTCCACGTCTGCGGGGGCGGGGGAGGGAGGGGGGAGGAAAGGGTGAAATTAGCGGTCATTCTCACCGAAGGACAGTCTATTGCACTTGACTTATCAGTTTTGGAATCGCTAGCGTCTACGTGCTACTTATTTATCAACTTCACTGATTTCCTCCTTCTCCAAGCCAGGGGAGGGAAAACGATTTCCAAAACAAGAAATATCACACAACCATCAGCCTATTCATCCAAGTTATCTCATCTATTTAGATCATCTCGACCAGTCCACCCATTAGACTCTAGACAGGCGTTAGAAGCGTCGAGCAGTTTTACCAACACTTCGCTCGCGTCGGAGACTTCATACTAACCACACTCCACTTCGGGGTTGCCGCCAAGGGGCTCGGGGCACGTGCAGGTGTAATTCCCCGCGTGTTGGTGCACTTGGCGTTCTTACCGCAAGGGAACGGGTAGCCAAGGCACTCGTTAATATCTGCGCATGCAACGAGGGGCGGCGAGACGAGAGGTTGGTTAGTTCGGTCGGTTATGGCAACGGTGGTTAGGGGGACATCTAAGGGCTTAGCTTTGGGTGGTTAGTTTGTTAGTTCAGCTTATTTTGTTCATGCAGTTAATTGTTTTTGTCAATATGGTAAACTGGAGAACATCATACTCACTACAGTTTGTTGTCTAGCAATGTTAATCTTGTTCATGTTATAAAGCAGAACATGCAATATTAAGAACACAGAAACGTGTTATTCAATAATAACTGCGCTGAAAAGCATGCTGGCTGTGCAATGCTTGTTGAAATTGCAAAAATCTCAGATGCAATATCAGCTGATGCCAGTATCAAAATGCAAAGCGCTGTTCTACACTTACCTTTGCGATTAGATATCAAATTAGGACTACCTGCACAGCATCCTTTTGCTTCTTAATTGAAATAAAAAAAAAAAAAACGCGACAAGCCATGCAGTCAGTCATCAACGTCTCCTCCTCTCTTACCACGATCTCCTAAATTACGAAACAAAAATCTCCCGAGACCATTCGACCCAGAGAGAGAGAAAAAAACCGAACAAGCAAACAGAACTGAACCGCCGACTTACCCAGGCACTTGGCGTTTGGATTTCCCGAGAACCCTGGGGGGCACTGGCAGGCGAAGGAGCCCAGGGTGTTGGTGCAGACGGCGTTGTCTCCGCACTGCCCTGAGGGTCGGTTGCCTGCCGTGCATTCGTCCACGTCTGGGGAGGGGGGGAGGGATGGGAAAAAGTAATGAAAGTGATTTAATTCGTTATTTACATAGAGTCTCTGTCTCACTTCCTGATTTATCCAAACATACATATATACATGCATATACCCATACACACACATACCTTAGGAATATATATATATGTAATATATATACATATATATATATATAATATATATATATATATATATATATATATATATATATATATATATAATATATAAATTCCTCCTTCCCTCCTTCCACCTTCCCCCGCTCTTTCCTCCATCCCTCCATCCTCATTCCTTCCCCTCCCATCCCCTTCCCTCCCACCCCCTCGTCTTCCCCTCCACATACTCACCAACGCATCCGCGGTGATGTCCTTAGGGTCGTAAGTCCAACCGGGATCGCACATGCACATCGCCTCTACGCCATCGGGCTTGCAGGTGGCGTGCGGCCCACACTCGACGCCTTCACACGGAGCTGCGGAAAAACGATCGTAATTTCGTTATTAATTGCAGAATCGTTTCGTTGTCTAAGGGGGAGAACTAGAGGGTTGTGATGGTGGTTGTGATTTGATGTCTATGTTGTAAGATGATGGTTATTGTTAGCAATTGTTAGTAAATGGCATGCTCTCCTTTCCACTAATATCTCTCATGCGATAGAAGTTTCCCAACGTCAGCTTCAATAACATTACAAAATAAAAATCTATCTGTCTGCCTCTATACAGATGTGTGAGTGTGTGTGTGTGTGTGTGTGTGTGTGTGTGTGTGTGTGTGTGTGTGTGTGTGTGTGTGTGTGTGTGTGTGTGTGTGTGTGTGTGTGTGTGTGTGTGTTCGTGTGTGTGTTGTGTGTGTGTGTGTGTGTGTGTTCGTGTGTGTGTTCGTGTGTGTGTTCGTGTGTGTGCTCGTGTTCGTGTGCGTGTGGCATGGCGTGGCATGTGCGTACCCGTGAGTGTGCGTGTTCTTGTGTATGAACGTGTGCGTACCTGGTATATGTGCGTATGTGTATCTATAAATCCAACAATTCTGGCGTATATCCATAAAACTATCACCCTCGTATGACTCCCAACTAGGCAATGGTTCTGACTCCTGAGCCTTGTTTACACTCGTGACGTCACACCCGGCAGCTGCTAGCCTAACTGTCCGCAGTGTTGACAGTTCCGCCCGCTGACCGTGCTAATAACCTTTGCAATGTCGTTGAAAGCTGAGGCAGGAGCTGACTTCCCTTTTAGATATATACATTGGACATTTTTGGGGGGATATTTTCGTTTCTTTGGGGTTAAGAATATCAGATATTGTCTATATAAATATTTGCTTTTAAGCGACGGTTAATTTTGATCATGCTAAGA